GGGGGGGGGAAAGCAAAGCTGAAAGTCTCAGTAAGGGGTATCCATCACATACTTTCACAGCCCAACCAACACTAGGGCTCTGCGCTTGCTCTACCACCTGTTCCTCACTGTCACACCCTCACCCTAGCCAGAGCCCAGGTCCAAAATGGACATCCACCACCTAGGGCTCCCATACAGAAGTGGCCAGGAATGAAAGCTGTTGCTGGCTCTCACCTTCCCTTGGCAGCCCCTTCACACCCCCATCAACACTGGGGCTCTGCGCTTGTTCTACCACCTAACCTTCACACTCATGTACCCTCTAGGCCTCCTCAAGCGCCCCTGGAGCCTGTCTGGCACATCCTGCAAGGTTGCCCAGGGACTTCGTGGGTGCTCGTTGTCCTTGCAACGCTTATAGCAAGTCCTAGTGATAACTGTTTTTCAAACAGGTTTGCTACTCCAAAGCACCTGGGCGGCTCAGGCACATGCCACAGGATCCTTCTCTTTACAGTCACGTTCTTGTACATGTTTTATAAAATAAGGTGGGGAGGTCCCTAAAGTGGGGACTATCCCCCTCAATTAATCTGCTTATTAAAAGCATTTGTCCAAGTTTTCTGATTTTGAAGCCTCCTCCAGCCATCTGCCCCACTACTTCCTGTGCAAGGGAAGGTTTTCACACTGTCTTCCTTTCTTGCACTTGATGCCCCCAAGTCCCTCTGTGTCCCTTGGACTCAGGGCAGGTCTTTATTCCTTTCCTCACTGCAGAGCTCTCCCCATTTCCTTCTGCCTGCCAGCCTGCCACCAAATGAACCCGTTGTCCTTCCAGCCAGAAGGATCTGTACCAGCAGTGCAGATAACACCATGATTCCAACGTCGCTGGCTCATGGTGCCTCACCAGCACACTCAGTGCTGTCCAGGACACCAGGGCACCCCATTCCTGCCCTAGGGCTGGGACACCAGCTGCTGCAGTCACGGAGAACAAAGCAACAATGACTGAAAGGTTTTCTCCATTGCAGCTGTGAGGAGGCTGGCTAGAGGCTCAGGGCCAGAGCTGACGGTGGCACCTATTGGGGCCGCAGGTGCCAGGGATGTGGGGCCAGGAATGAGGCAGTCCTGCCTCCTGCTCCAGATCCTGCACAAAAGCCTTCTGCATGGGAGCAGCTGCGGAAGGGCAAGCAACATATATAGGGCCTAGCTGAATTGGGCACTTCTTCCATGGGCCTCATTATTTTAGGTCATTCTTATTACCTTGGCATATTCAACGTCATTGGCATATCCAGTCTCCTTCTGTGACAATGGTAGTGGTTCACCCTGCAGTCTGACTGCCCTTGTCCTGGGATTCATCTCCATCTGCGAGACATTTCTCAGCCCTGTTATTTGCCAGTAGCTGGCATGTCCTGGCTTGCCCTGGCCACCAGCTGCCCTTGTGCCTGCTGCTGTGGCCAGCTCATGTGGGTGGGGGGCAAGGTGACTTACTGCACAAATAAAGGGGATGAGAGGCTGCCCAGCTGGATGAGTACCAGTCTTCCCTATTGCACTCAGATGTAAGCCAGTGCCACTCACCACCACGCAAGGATGTTCCCTGCATGCTCAGCTTGTGTAGAGACAGCTCTGCTCAAAATGCCTCAGGGCTGCCCACATCTCCTGAAAACCTCTGGTGTGGCTCCCATCAGCCACCAAGTAACCCCTGGTCACAGGGCTTGGCCATACCTGTGCCATTCACAGCTGTCTTCACCTGC